CCTATTATCCATTACTTCTATGTAATCTTTGTGTAATCAAAGTAAAAATATGTCATGTTATCTAATTTTTACTGCACTACAAACTTTTTAAACAACATTTAGAAAAAACAAAGAAAACAAAATGAGTATATTACAAATACTAGTGCATGCAAAGTAAGTACTCAGAATGATATTCTCTGCTATCTTAGTGGAGGTCTGCTATCATATATTTTACATATATCTAATCATAACCATAACAACAGATTTTGTTTGTTTTTTTCCTCTTTTTTTGTTAAAATGAAACAAAAAAAAATGCCAGCAATTTCGATGACATGTAGTTATTTTTTCCACATAACTGAAATTAATAAATGGACCCCACTGTTATTAGTATTAGGGTCTAATTTCTGCTATTTTTCCTTGTAATTTCTTTTTAGAGTGAATTAGTTCGGAGGCACATCCAAAAAGAGTTTTGGAGAGTTCAGGATGTATTAGAAGGTCTACAAAAGAACAGCTTATCCAGAGGCATAAAAACAGCCAAGGGTAGAGGTAAAACAAACTAAACTAATTTTGAACATAATGGCTTGTGTTTCTACCTTCTATCTAATGGCTCTTTTCCTGACACTTCACCTCACACAGTTTTTTTCTCTTTTCAGTTGACAGTGGTGCATCAGGGTCCTTTACCACCAATAGTCCAGCAAGCCCACTGAGCTCAGTAAGCCTTACCAGTCCACTGAGCCCCTACTCCCCAGTGCCTGTTTGCCAGGCTTCTCCAACCAAGGAGTTGGGTCTGGAGGTAAGCACTTAATCCTAAATTGCATAGAAGAGGAAATTCTAAACGTCCCAAGCCATGCCTTGTGCCTAATTTCAAACCTGACAAAATGCCTAACCATGGACCCCAAAGTTATAGGGAAGCTGACCCAGTGTCGTATACAGAGCATATAAATTATTATGGTTGTGAAAACTGTGAGCATACTTTTTCATAGATTACTCTTGCTTTCTAGAACCTCAGGGAGTCCTTAAGGACATTAAACCCTGTAGAGGAGGAAATAGATCAAAAAGGGACTAACTAAGGTATAAACCCAGGAAAGGCCAGAGAACAGGCCAGTTTTCTTGGTGTACAATGCCAATATTCTGAATATACCAATCAGCACTAAGATGCAATCCATATCCATTCTGATACTTGAGAGATTAATTAGTTAACCTTCGAAGGTTGCAGAAATGAAGCCAAGCTTGTCCTCAGAAAACATGTCGTAACATACTTACATCTGGATCATTGTTAGTTTTCCCATGATTACTGGGGTGTTTCCTAACATCGGGCTCATTCAGTAAGTGTTTAAGTAAATAGTTCATTACATCAGTGTGCATTTAAAAAACACAGGTATGACATTTTTATTCTTCATTAATAACTTAATATACAACCTGTTTGAGGAAAGGTCTTTTCATAATTTCTAAATAATGGCTTCACCATTTCTAAATTTAAGAACAAATCATTTATTTAGGAGCTGTTCATAGCATGGTATTGCCATGCTATGGCTGTCCTGGCTGCCATGTTTTTTGCAACGTTCTGTGGAGGTCTGGAGTGGTGCCTTTAAAATGGGAGATTGGGGTAGTTGTTCCCATATTTAAGAAAGAGGACAAGAGATTATGCTCCAATTATAGGGGGATCACAGTGGGAAAGTACTCAAGGATTTTTGTTGTCTCATCTTGGACTGTGGTGCTGACACTCACCAGTCCCTGGCCTCCTTTCTTCCACTTAGCATACAGCCTCAGGGTGCTGGACTTGGAGTGAAACCCTCCAAGCATGGTCAGGAGCATACTGGTCTTGATGTCAGGATCTTGTTCTTACCATTCAGCTGACTCTTCAAGACTTGCCTGACCTTCTGCAGGTACTTGGTGTTTGCATCTTTCCTAACGGGCTCCTCGTTGTTCCCATTTGCCTGTGGGATTCCCAGGTACCAGGTTCTCCAATCCGAACAACATTCCGATGTCATTGCTGTATATCCTGGTGGTGTGGATCAGTGAATCGGCATACAGCTTGATGTCATCCATGTAGAGGAGGTGGCTAACAACTGCTCAACTCCGTAGTCAGTATCCGTAGCCAGTCTTGTTAATGATCTCACTGAGGGG